GCTGCTGTAAATATTTTTGTATATGTAGCTTTCCCTTTTCTTTTATCCTTTTGGTATTGCTGGGTCAAAGGGTATAAGGCCTTTTGGACATAGTTCCAAATTGCTCTAAAGAATGGTTGGATCAGTTCACAACTCCACCAACAGTGCAGTAGCATCCCAATTTTTCCACATCCCCTCCAGCATTTGCAATTTTTCTTTTCCATCATCTTGGCCAATTTGATGGGTACGTGGTAGTACCTTAGGGTTGTTTTAAGTTGCATTTCTCTAATGATTAGTGATTTAGAGTATTTTTTCCCATATGACTATTGATAACTTTGATTTCTTCTGAAAACTGCCTGTTCATGTCCTTTAGCCATTTGTCAATTGGGGAATGGCTCTTACTTTTACAAATCTAGCTCCATTCCCTATATATTTGGGAAATGAAGCCTTTATCAGAGAAACTTACTGTAAAAATCCCTCCTACCTCCTTGTTTCCTACTTTTCTTCTAATCTTGGCCACGATGATTTGTGCAAAATGTTTTCAATTTCACGTCATCCAAATTATCCACTTTACTTCCTGGGATCCTCTCTAGTTTTTGTTTGATTCCTAGATCTGACAGGCTGGAAGTCAGAGAAACCTCCCTAACCGCGTCCCAAAGCAGTTGAAGGGGCTGCCTCAGGAGGTGGGGGGCTCCTGTTTTCTGGAGCCCTCCACCCAAAGGTGTAGAGTGTAGAGTGTAGAGTGTAGAGATACACATGTAGAGTGGATCATTGCCCAGGTTCGATCACGTGACCTCGGTGCTCCATCCTAAGATTAGGCCAGGAAGAGAAAGCCAGAGGCTGCCTGGGCAGGGCAGGGCTGGAGGGAGGGATCGTGGCTGCCCACCCCAGGGGCTTTTCAGATCTCCTGCCACAGGAGGCTTTTCCCCTGGCAAGGAGTGTAGATGGAAGACAGTCCTGGTCAGACGGCAACGAAAGCACAAGGGGTCCCTTCTGAGGCTTTGCTCCGGGGCGTTCTGGAGTTTAGCCTTGGTTTGGCTGCTGAGGGAAGACGGTGGACCCGGTGAAGTGAAGCAGGACGGTAATGGAGCCTCATCCCCATCTCGATTGCCTAGCGGAATCGACTCTGGGAAATCGGGCAAAAGAATCCTTCCACCCCGAGACACATCCAGGACGAGGCTGGCCGTCCGATGCTGACTTGGAAGGACTGAGATCAATGTTGTTGATAAGCTGTGACCCTTGGGGGTATCGGTGTCGTTGTGTTGTCTTCCCTGGCTCCCCTAACATGCTCGCGTCCTCCTAGATTTATCTTCCGCTTCACTGTCTGGGTACATTTTGTACCCCAGCCCCCGTAAGAATGTAAGCTCCTCGAGGGCAGGAGTTCTTGTTTTTTTCTCTCTTTCCCCAGGCCCTTAGCCATAGTAGGTATTTAATAACTTTATTGAATTGATTTGAAGCTTTGACCAAAATTCCTCATTTCTTCCTTCAAGTAGATGTTGCAGTTTACTTACTAATGTTTTACAGACTTTCAGTGTCCTAGGCTAATTGAGTTGCATCTGGCAGGTGTGGTAGCCAGGACTCATCCTTGAGGGGGTGGATTCTCCCTGCAGAGGCTCAGAGTGCAGCCCCTCTAGACCCCCCTTGTCCTGTGTGACTCCAGGGTGTGTCCACAACCCTCCATCAAGCCTTCCTCTAAGGGTTCTGTAGCAACCAGTTTCCCAGCATGTGAAATCTTGCTCAGTAGACTAAGAAATCAAGCTTGCTCTTCAGGTGGGATGAGTGGGGAGCTGAGGCCATTATACCAAGACAGAACTTGGAAGCTTCTCGCTTCTGTCTGTTTCTGGGCTTGAATTCTATGGATAATTGCTCCCTCGCTCCATTTCCAGTTGTCTGCACTCACAGCCCTTGCATCTCTGGGCCCTGCTGACTCGATGTGTGCATACACACATGAGGAAGACCAGGTCCATGTTTTCCATGAGCTGCCTGCTGAGCCCTGAGCGATGGAGCCGTGGACAACGTGTGATGGCAGCGGAGACAAACACCCGGCAAGGCTGAATTCCAGACATTGGGAAAGGGGAAGGCAAAAGCAAACATAGCCTGTGGACCTTCCTGGAACTGGAGTCGATCCCCGGCAGTCCCAGAACAAACTGCGAACAGTAGAAAGGGGTGGGAAAGGAGAACATGCCAGACTTGGATTTTCTGACTGATTGGAACGTCACAGAAGGTGGTTGAGGAAGCTCCTCTTGTCTGGTCCATTAAACCCCACCTCTTGCTGCAGTAAACCAAGAGCCCACTGGTAAGGGCTCGTTGCTGGGGCTCCTTGGTGGTACTCGGCTCAATCTCTGCATTTCAATGTGGTCAAAGAAAAGGCCTTTCCCCTGGGGCCAGCATCTGCCGCACCTGCAGATAGCAAAGTACTTTGTAAGCGCCTGCTAACCTGCCAGGCGCTGTGTGTGGCTTGGGGGGGATACAAAGAGAAACAAAAGCAGTGCCTGTCCTCAGGGAGCTCCCATTCTAACAGGGGAGATGACATCTGCACGTGTGTGCATCTACATGAATGCAGTGGTCATCGGATACCAGAGGTCAAGTCTTCAGGGCTTGTCTGTGGCAGCTCCTGGGAACACTGAGTCTGGACTTCTCTGAAAATAGTCATTTCTCTTCTCATCCAAAAAGGAAGAGGGAGCAGAAGTGTCCCTAGAGGGAGAAGTGAGTTGGGACTCCGGGGCTCAAGTCTTAAGGGAAAAAAAGAGAATGAAACTGGGAGAGATGAGAACCGCTCGGGCTGGGCCACCCTCACCTCTGCTACTTTGGCCAACGGGCAGCCAGAGGTCCAGAGGACATGCACTCAGGTCCTGACCAGCCAGGGCTGAATTTGCCCCTAAGAGATCAGATTGGATTGTAATGTTTGCTACCTTTTCCTCCACTCTCTCCCACTTTGAGAGTGTATGTTAAATCCAAAGCTTATTTGTTCTTTAATTTTTTTAAAAAATTCTAACATATTTAGTAACATGTAATTCTAATATAATAACACATATAACATGGCCTCTCGCTTCACTCTCCCAATTTGCCCTGGTCCAGAGTAAGTCTCCCCTAGGAACTTCTAGGGGTAATATTGAGGAGTTGCAACTTCTAACACAGGCCCCCACCTGGTGCGCTTCCCAATATCAATCAGCCAGTTAACACCAATGAGTTTTTACAAAAGTGTATTTTCTGAGCAAGAACATTTGTTACAAAACAATCTCCCCAAATTAGGAGGCACTCTACCTTTACACACACATGAGGAGAGTTGACTCAACCTTAAAGCAGTGAGGTCTACAACAGATGGGTCCAGGGGTACCCCGTGACTCTTGGCCCTGGGAGTCCTTTTCTCCCTTTGCAGAGTCCCCACCAACTGAGCTCCAGAGTGAGGCGCTGGCTGTGCACCAGCCACTCTCCTTGTCTGCTAGACTGCAACCTTGCAGGCTTTCAGCTCCCAGGGCCCTTCCCAGCAGGGTCATCCAAGCATGTCAATCCTCTGAAGCACCAGCTCCATGCCAGGCTTTGTCTGGCACCGGCTGTGGTTGCTGGTTGGGCCTCTCATGGCTTTGAGGGAGCTCCCACACAAAAGACACAGAGGCATTGTGTGTTCGTGGCCACATGGCAGCTAGATGGGAGAAGGGCAGCTGTTGCAGTTCTCTCCCCTCTCAACGCCAGGAAGGAATTTTTGGTTTCATCTCAGTGCCACCTGAGCCTTCAGGACTTCAGGCTTCTCACTTCAAGTCCAGCCTCTCCCAGAGCAAGAAGTGTCCTCCTGAGCCTTCCCACGTTTAACTAGAACCAGGAAGGGCAAATCTGCACATACTCCAAGATGGTTCATTGGCTGATCCACCCTATGTGTGCATTTATAATGGAATTCCGCCAGGTTGTGGGACTTCCTCCAGCTCCATGCAGCACAAATAAGAGTGGAGGAGTGAGGAGAGCAGAGAGGGTGAACACCTCCCGCTGGTGCTTGGATGTAAGTGAACATAAGATGTAGGCAGTGACCAGAGCAGGACAGTGGGGCAGGTGAGGTGGGGAAGGGAAGGGAACTGATCAAGAACAGGGGCATGGCCTGTCCTGAGGGCTAGAGGGAACTGGAAGCAGGGATATGCTGGCAAATGTTTAACAACTGGCTGTCCAGAAAAAAAAAATGTTTCCAGGACACACTTTATGTTTAATCTGACTTGTCAACATTTCCCCCCATCACTTTCTTAAGTCTAGACAATTAACAAAACTGTACATCAATGATCGACAGCTGATTTATAGCAGTCTGGGTTTCTGAACACCAAACATTTAACAATCAGCTCTTAACTGGTCTGAGTTGACTCCAGCACACCCTTGAGTGGAAGTCCCAGGGAGAATAGAGCTATGTTGGGGAGCAGGAAAGCCTGGGGAGAGATGGAATGATGGGGCCTGTGATTAGATCAAGGAACTTGGGGGTTCTGGAAGCACGAGGGGAGGGTTCAAGTTTTAGCAGGAATGATCTCTGCCTTCCTAGTACGGGGCTACAGCTCCAGTTAATTTGCTCCCACCTACTGTAAAAGATTGGCCTGGCTTGGGGGCTTTCTCCCTGCTTAGAGAAGAGCAGGAGGGGGGTGGGGCTTGGAGCCGTAGCCTCAGGCCCCCAGACTTGCCTGGTGACCTCGATTGTTATTGAGGGATCTGGCCCTCAGCAGCCTCATCGGTAAAAAACGAGGAGGTCAGTGTGGTGATCAATCAGATCTGAGTCCACATCCGGTCATCAAAATTGATCCAGGCATTCCTGAAAACAGCAGCAACGAAAGTCTGTGGAAAGAAAGCCAAAGTTCACATTTTTATAAAGTCTGAACAAAGGCCTAGCGTGTGGACATCAGGACACTGGGATCTGGCCCAAAGGCCTTTCGTGAGTCTCTTTTGCAGGTAAATCGATGCTTTCTCATGCTGACTCCTGGATGGCAGCCAGGGTCCCGCTCCCCTTCTTCCGGGGCAGGTCTTCAGGCACCACCCTCGCTCACTGGATCTCTGTCTAGCTTCTGGAGACCCTACAGCTGCCCTACCAAGGAGTCCCGATCAAGGAGAAAGGAGGCCTGCGGAAATCCTTCACTGCCCCACTGACTCTTGCAGAACCTCTGCGGGCAAGTCCTACCGTTTGTCTCTGTACTGGGGGCTTTGTGCGTGGGCGAATACTGCTGATGGACTTGTTGGCTTTAGTTTAGTTTAGGTGGGGCTCGCTAGCCCCACCATCAACCTGGGTCGGGGGCTTCAGGATACGGGGCCTCTTTTTCCTCAAGGGTAGTTTCCTGCTTTCCCCCTATTTGGCCATCAAAGCAACTCTGTAGATAAAGTGAGTGTGTGTATGTGTGTGTGTGTGTCTGTGACGGGGTACTAGGTTACACGTAGTGCTACATGTGTGTATGAGTGTGTGTGTATGTGTGTGTGAGTGATGGGGTGC